GAGGGTATACAGGTTTCTTGGCGTCGTATTCGTTGGTAAACTCATCCAAGGAGATGTCTCTCCTACGTTCAACATTCCCATCATCAAAAGAGAAGCCGTCAAGTGATGCATTACACCTATAGAAACGTTTATACAAGTACAACGAATTGAATCCTGCACATGAGCATAATCATATATTAGCAAGAGAACAGAAAATAAAAAAAACGACTAATTTATTAATCAACAAAGATTCTACCATCAAAACACAAAGGCTTTCTATCATTATCTTCAGTAACTCCTTCTCTGTATATCAGAAAAAAAAAAAAAAAACAATCCAATCAATTACAATATTTTAAAGACAATTCGAATAATTCAAAAGGTACTTACAGATGCAATGTGGTTTTTCTCCAGGAGCCTTTATACTCAAGAGGACCTTTTGCTTTTCTGAGGCATAAGCTCATCCATAGAGGCTCTTCGTTGCATAGAATGTACATAACACTAAACGCAAACGCGAATTTAATATAATCAGACGCTAATTTTTGAAAATTGAAATCGATTATTAGAAAGAGATTTGCGAGGAAACCTGCTGACGCAAGCGAGGTGAGCGATGTCTCGAGGAGAAAGGTACTCGAGAAGAGCACATATGGTTTCATCTGGGAGGACACTGAGAGTACCTAGCGCCTGGGGTCGCCGATCTCTCTGTCGAAACGCCGTCGTTTCGTCCATTTGCTTGGCTGCTTTCACCCGTTCATATAAATGCCTTTCGCACGATGTACGCGTTTAATGGTGTCGGACTTTTAAACGGTGTCGTTTCGGCGAACGAATCTGATAAGAAGGGAACAACATCGCGTTTAGCTTACGAAAATTCGAAAGGATAAAAACGCGTTTATTCCTTCCAGAAAGAAACGGGAAATGGCGCGTAGTCGTTGGTTAATGGGCTAAAAGCCCAAATCTGGACGGATTGATATTCTAAATGGGCTTGTTAAGTGTATAGTTATGGCCCACAGGCTTTATATAAAAAAATAAAGCCCAAAACATGTTTAATCTTTTTACTCATTGATGGTATTTTATTTGAAGATGAACCACAAAAGAAAAACTTATAAGAGTATCCAAAATACAATGACACAATCATGTAGTTATAGTACATGCACCAAGTCACCTAATTTATCGGCAATGAAACCATTGTTGTGGACGTAAAATAAAACAGACTAAAATCGTGTCACGTAAACCATAAGGCAGAGAGATAGTAATTTAAAATGTTTAGCTTTCCGGATTACTAGACAGCAAAAGCTTGTTGGGACTTGATCCGTCTCGTTCTGAGCCGTTCCGCGATGACGAAGGCTGCGACGCATTGAGACGTGGGTCACAGTGCGTGTGGTAACGTGAACCCAAGTCGTCAAAGGTCACTGTGCGGGACCCACCAATACATTCGGTCACGTTCTGTCCTGTCATCTCCAAGTGTATACCTCCTGGGTGGCTTCCTTCTTGGTCATGCACGTCGAAGAACGCTCTCACTTCCGCCTATTATATTCATTACCAAACATTTTAATACTATTTCATGATTCATAAAAACATGTATGGTTCTTTATTTCCTAACCACCTAACTTATGTTTCACCTAACTTTATCTCGCGACATTAATAAAGTATGATGTGACGGTATTAATTCCATCTTTTGCAATAAGCAAAGAAACTAAATGGTCACTATCATGTTGAAAACACTAAAAATAATCATGTGAAACGTTTTACCAGGATGGAGTCGAAAGGACGAGTTTTGAGACCGCAAGGAGCCTTGATGGTGTTACCATGCATAGGATCACTAACCCATGTCACGATCTGTCCAGCCCTACGAACGGCTCTAATTAGATGAGGAAGTTTCACACGCATATTCTCTGCACCCATTCTTGTGATTATAGTTATCCTCCCTGGTTTATTCTCAGGGTTCAGAATCTCAATCAGCTTCACCAGCTCCACCGGGTCCATCTTGTTACTCACCTAAACAACCAACCACAAAAAAAAAAAAAAACAATCAATATGGGTTTAGATCGAAAAACATGTTACCATTGAAATCAGATGATGTGATGAACATACTTTAATACCGAGCGGATTCGAAATGCCTCTGAGGAACTCAACATGGGCGCCATCAAGCTGTCTAGTGCGCTCTCCAACCCATACCATATGTGCAGAACAATCATAGTAGAGACCAGAGGTAGAGTCTAGTCTCGTCAGTGATTGTTCATAAGGCAAGAGCAAACACTCATGTGATGTCCAGAAGCCTGTCGTTTGCATTATAGGATGATCAAGCGTTAGCCCAGCAGCGTGCATGAAACCAAGTGCCTCATCAACCCGGTTAGCAAGTTCACGGTACCTAGCCAAAAAAAAAAAAAAAACAAACTCATGATTCAACACATACAACTTGAACTTAACAAAAATATTTATGTAGTATGCTTTGTCTAACACCAAGAGGACCAATATTGAGATTTTAAAGGTTATAAAAAATTTCTTTTAATTATTTTAACAATTTTGGAGCATATATTTATAAGCATTATCTCCTAAATTTTAGAGACCATATACTAATGTTTCATTTGCCTATAATCAAGACCTAACACCAAACCCTAGATTTGCTAGAAACAAGAGGAGGTTTAAGTTTGTACCTGTCTCCTTGCTCACTATGCTCAGCAAAATCAAGATTCCACTGAGTAACTCTCTGCATAGCAGCGTATCCACCAGTGGCAAAGGCTCTAAGCAGATTCAAAGTAGCTGCAGATTGAGAATAGGCACTAACCATCCTCTGTGGATCAGGGATCCTTGACTTGGCATCAAAGGCATCTCCATTAATGTTATCTCCTCTATAACTAGGCAGCTTCACACCATCTCTCTCCTCAAACGAGTCTGATCTCGGCTTAGCAAATTGACCCGCCATCCTCCCCACCTAAACCAAACCATTATAAATAAATAAAAAAAACTAATTACCTTCCCTAATGCATCTAAACCAATTATTAAAACCGGTAGTTACCTTGATAACCGGAACTTGACCACCAAACATCAAAACCGCACCCATCTGGAGAATGATCCTGAACGTGTCACGGATGTTGTCAGCGTTGAACTCCTTGAAACTCTCAGCACAATCACCTCCCTGCAACAGAAACGCTTCTCCTTTAGCGGCTTGACCTAGCCTCTCTTCGAGCAACCTAGCTTCGCCGGCGAACACGATCGGCGGGTACGTTCCGATGGTCTTGAGAACCTTGTTCAGCTCCTTTTGATCTGGATACTCTGGCTGCTGCAACGCTGTCTTTGTCTTCCATGTCTCCGGAGACCATTTGGGTTTAGGAGATTCATTCTTCGGATCGATGACGGCGGAGATTCGTAGAAATGCCGGTCTAGAGACGGAGGAGGAGACCGGTTTACGGTGGAGGATCGCCGGTTTGGTGGATGGGAGATTCAAGCCGCCGTTCAGGAGTGCCATTGTTTTGTCGTTTTAGGTTTAAGACAGAACGTGTTTTGTTTTTATATACCTGAGGAAGAGTTTTGTGTTGACGTTATGGGCTTTTTGAGTTCGGTAATAAGTACAAAAAGCTTTAAGTGGGTCCAGTGGTAGGTATAGTCTGTCTTTAAAGGGCTATTTTGGTAATTAAGTTTAGATGGTATCTTCTGGGATATTCTGCTTTGAGTAGGTTTATAAGGTCAACAAGTCAATTCTATGAGTGTGATTGGTAAACTTGACATAACTTGGGCTCTAACTAGTAACCATCATAGGAACATCAAGAACAAATAAAAAAGGAATAGATGTGAATAAAATTATGGGAATGAAGAGGAATAGTTATTCCATATCAAGTTTAATAAAGAACAAATTTGTTCAATAAATCTCTACAATAAAGGGAATGATGAGGAATAGAAAGGAAAAGCTATTCCTTATGCATGGTAAATTTTTTAAGGAATATTAAGGAATGTATTGTTCCTCCTCATTTCTTTGGTTACCATTCATAGCCTTGGAGTAATTAAATTTAGAAGGAATGAGTGGAAAAGAAATGGGGGAATGAGAGTAAACTTTTACTCTTATAAAAAAGAGAGGTATATATTCTCTACAGATTCGCTAAAAGACATAATTATTTACTCTACCTCAATTAAAGTTCTTTTATCCTGATTAGTTTTAGTTTGGCGTAACTGAGCTGAAAATTAACTTTTCTCTAATATTTTACTCTAATATTACCATACAGTCACAGCCTATATGTAACGCTAACTGTTGGAGATGGAAATATTCGGCCATACAAATATGGAAAAAAAAAAACGTTACAGTTGTTTTAAAGATCGTCTACACAAGATTTCAAGTTTTTTCTTTTGTATTTGTATAACCCTGAATGAAAAATGTGTACTACTAATACCCCCCTCTCTTTCGTTCTTTATAACATTCGCTCGTGACACAATACCGTCTCACAGTCCATAGCACCTTCTCATGAGTACAATGAGCTACAAAATAAGGTTATGTTCCGGACGATTAGTGCTACTGCACCCATCTTTGTTTCTCCATCATCAAAAACTCGTCTAAAAGGGTATAATTCCACTCAAATGTATGCATCTCTCGACTTTATTTTATTTCTACGAGATGAGAGTAGAGTTGAGGACAGGCCTGGTTGAGGAGGCATGGAGACTGAGATAGATTGGATACCCTCGATGAACATTAGGCTTAATGACTTGACATAATTGGGCTTTATGTGTCCAAAGCCTTTGTTGAAATAGAAAAGCCCATTGTATTGGGTCCATTAGGTTCCTAAAATTATACCAAGAGTGCTGCCAAATAGATACATACAGGCCTGTAGCAATGTCTCAGTAGAGCTGGCATTGAATGAAATTTGCTCAAATGTTATATAAGTACAATTTCAAAAGAAATAAAATACTTGCAATGATCCATATTTTTTTGTTTCTTCCTTGGTCACATATATGTAATATTCAAACTCCAAAAAAAAAAACTGAGAGGATGTAAAGGAGTAAAAAGATAAAGGAGAAAGAAGGAATATGAATCATGTAGCATAAAGTTGATATTATTAGAATTGAAATAAGGAAACATGAAGGAAACGGTTTACGTAGATTCCTTCAGAAAAATATGGAGATAAATACTATGACAAGAGTCTTATAAAGAGATAAACAGTCTTGAGTCGTCTTCTTGGGGCTCAAGTCATAGCTCTGGTTGAGAAATAAATGAATTAGCTGTTTGTAATTTCAGGTGCAGCGAAGAGAGAGATAAAAATGTGAAGAAATCAAGAAGAAATTGGTTCTTTATTGTTGTTCGTTGTGATTTCAGGTGCAGCGGTTGTTGCCTCGCCTTCTGCTGATGATACTTGTTCTGGTGCTTCAGATTCTGAAGAAAAAAAACAACTATTAAATAAATAAAAAATATTGCTTAACTAGATAATAGTTACAATTTAGTCTGATTCATATGAATAAATAACAAAAGTATTTTGGGTGTTTCCTATAGAATAATATAATTGATCACTGTTGGTTTAACACATATATGTGTGTGTGGAGCGATTAAGAGAGATGTTGACAGTGTATGTTGGCTTCACTGGCATTGCGACCAAATTGACAGATGATGGAGAAGAGACACATATACCAATGTATTGAAAATAGACAGCTCATTCCACATGCATCCTTTATTCACGGTTCTCTTTTTTTTTTTGGTTCCCTCCAATCATTCACTATTCTTTTTCTTTTCTATTTCTTCACATATTTCGTTGAAACCCATATCCCTATTTACTAATAAAATGTGCATAATAGTTGGGAAAATGGGCAATTAATTCCCCAAGTATTTGAAATCGGCAGTTTTAATACTCAAGTATTGCTCGCGCAGAATTATTCCCCAACTAATAGTTGACTGCGCGAAATTAGGAATGAAATAGTCAAACCGTTAACTGGTTAACGGAAAGATAACGGTTGATCATTTCGTTCCTAATTTCACACAGTCAACTATTAGTTGGGGAATAATTCTGCGCAATAAATACTTGAGTATTTAATTTGCCGATTGAAAATACTTGAGGAATTTAAAACATCAATACTTTTTAAAAATATATATAATTTAAAAGATGAAATAGATTTTTTTAAAAAAATAAAACGATTAACTTTATTAACGATTAACTCTATTAACTTTATTCAATATACTTAAATCCTAACACTAACGATTAACTTTATTAACGCTTTTTAAAAAAATAAAAAAGTCTGTTTACTTTAGTTAACTTTGGTTTAGTTGTGTTCTTATCAAAAATGGTGATTTTTCAGATTTTTTTTTCAGTTTTATATTATAATTATAATATAAAACTGTCTGATAATGTTTTATGTAAATTAATTATAATATAAAACTGAAAAAAAAAATCTGAAAAATCACCATTTTTGATAAGAACACAACTAAACCAAAGTTAACTAAAGTAAATAGACTTTTTTATTTTTTTAAAAAGCGTTAATAAAGTTAATCGTTAGTGTTAGGATTTATGTATATTTTATAAAGTTAATAGAGATTTTAGTTTTCAAATAATAACAAAATCACATTGTTTTCTCGGTTCGGTTTAACTCGGTTCAGTTTGGTTTGGAGTTGTTTCGATTCAGTTGGTTCGGTTTCATTCGGTTCGATATTTTTTGCCATCCCTAGTCT